CCACTCACCCATATAGTCTGGGTATGTTCCATAGGCAAACAGGCTCAGCAACTGAAAATAAGCAGCATTAGCACCTTCTGCAAGCTGTGGAAGAAGGACAATTCATGAACAGCAAGGCAGTGACTGGCTGCCTCCTACCCCTGGAATCAGGCATGACCAAGGCTGACACTTGGTCAGCGATGGCACAGGAGAGAGGTTTCTGTAGTGGAGGGGAGGTGGGAGAGCCCAAGGCCCTTTCAAACAAGGAAAGTCCCTTTCTTGAGACTCCAAGAGGGATTTAGGGGCACAGGCTGCCATGGGAACTCTAGGTTTTTGTCTTTTTCTTTCCAGAAGCTCTGAGTGTTTCATTTGAAAACAGTGTGGAGAAGGAGGGATGTGGTCAGCAGCCCCGGGCAACAGGGGCCAGGTTAGGGCCCTGCAGCCCTCACCATCCTTTCCCTCTTGAGATCCCTGACTCAAAGGGAGAAAGCAGCTCAGTGGGGCCTGAGCCAGGGAGGCCCCTGCTTCCAGACCAGGGAGCGCAGGATTACCCAGAGAAGACTGTCCATCCTCCTCTTTCCAAGCCTGGAGAACACAGGCTCCACGGCTTCCCTCAACAGTCCCAAGCAATCTGGTCCAAGCACAATCTCTGGCAGCGACTTAACAGAGTTCCCTTTGTTCAGGCCCCCAGAGTCACAAGGAGCAAGGGAAGAGCAAAGAGGAGCTGGAAGACCCTTCGCGGCCACGCCAGGACGGGGTGAGACAATGGGCGAGAAGATATGTATGCCACGAAGCATCTGCAGTGGGCCAGGACCCTGGCAGAACTGGGGGAATGGGTCACCCCCCTCCCGCCTCCCCAGCCCCCACAACACTAAGCGGACGTCACGGGGCAGGCCCGGGGCGCTTTGGCCTAACTCTGCTCCCAAGTGGATCGACCGAGGAGCCAGTGGGGGCTGCCCAAGCAGGAAGAGCTGAAAGCAGTCTCTGGGGCTTTGGGGAGGAACTCCTGAGAGCCCGTCCTAAAAGGCCAACTTTTTTCATCTCTTTGCCAGTGGCTTTTGGTGGTCAGCATCCTGGACAGTTTTTGACCACGCTGGGCACGAATTCTACAGGGGCAGAGAATGAGCCGTTAGCGAGAGGATGCTGGAGCCTCAGGCTGAGGACCGCTGCCCAGATGTGTAAGCGAATGCGTGAGTGCGCCAGGCAGCGGGCCGGAGGGAGCGTCAGCTTCCACCAGACTTCGCAGAGCGACTGAGAAAACACCAAAGACAGTCCGCAAGGCTGCCCGGCGCTTCAAGCTGACTTTCCACATCGTGGGTCACTTCAATGACTCTGCTCTCCCTTCTCTCCACACGATTTTTTTTCTGACCAAATTGTCACTAATTTTTCCCATGACCAAACCACGGCACGTGGCTCTAACAAGGATCTCCCCAAAGAAACGTCTCTCAGGCTTCGTCTCCTATTGCTTCTGATCCATCCCAGCATCCTCCTGTCCTCCACGCCCACCCCACTCAGGCTTTCTCCACCGTTCCTTCCCACTCTGTGCAGTCGGTGGGGGTTTACCTGATACTTCCAGGAGGTCACTTTACATCACACTGCTCCTGGCCCGCTTCCCTCAGCCTGTGTCTGCATCAATAGCCCATCAATGGGACAGTATCCCCACTGAAAACCTTGTTTTTGTTGGAATTCTTTCCTAACTCAGTAAAGATCAACAGGAATTTTCTTCCTGCCTTCCAGAACACCTGGAAGCCTTAATGACGTGCTTCTCACTTCCTTCATCCAGATCCTCAGCAGAGCCCAGGGCCAATCAGCCCAGCGAGCTAGGCCTCCCTGCCCATCCTCCTCCTCTTCTGCTGGATGAGTGCCCGGTGGGCAGCTCTAAGCTCGATGGCTCCATAAACCTGAGGTCCCTGGAGACTGGGGGATGGGTGAGAAGCCCCAGAAAAAGGGGGATCGTTCCAAGGCCCAGACAACGCTTACCTCCTGCACGTTGGACAGCTCCAGCAGTTCCCCAAACACGTACACTCCAGGAGCCTCCAGGACCTGACTTATGAGGGCGGTGAGGGCTGAACCATTGGTGCCTTTGGCTAACAAAATAAACTGTTCCAGGAGGTTACAGGAGGGTTTTTGTTCGCCTGCCATTCTATGGTCTGGTAATCTAGTCAAAAAGAGAGCCATATCAGTCAGTTCTCTCCCACTCTATCCCATTTATGCTGATCCGGCTTTTGACTTTGCTTTTATTGTGCCTGTGATAAAAGCAAACTGCTCCTGAGATCAGGAACAAGCCATTGCTCTGTCATATGGATCTAGCCCAGACTGAAGGAAACATGTGCATTCTGAGAATTTAAAATTCATTTAGAAAAAGCCTCTTGATTCCTGGTGAACAGGTAGAAAGGGAACGGCTTTCCAAGTTCTTAGACATCCTCAGAGCAACAGACAGTGTCTGTAAGCAGCTGCCTTCTAGCCCTCCCATTTCCACAAGCAAGCATGCTAGCAGACACAGTCAAGACTGCTCCTCAAACCCTGAGCTTCTTTTGGAAACAATCGCCTCACTCCCTGCAATTACTCTAGAGCCTCAAATGTGTGGCTAGAGCTCCTGCTAGAGCAGCAGAGAGAAACAAAAGAGCAGTCAATCTTCGAAGAAAAGAGAAGCTGCTTCTTCTGTCAAACCAAACCAGTAACCTAAAATGCAAAGGTTTCATTTGAGTTCACTGGTGTCACCTCGGATAGGTGGGATCACACCCGAATCAAGCCAAAACCAGAAGAGAGGCTGCTGTGGACCTACAGACGCCTCAGATCCGTGCCTCTACCACCAGACGTGGGGATGAGAGAATCTGTACCAAACGCCAGGGCCTCGAGAAGGCCCGGGGGGGGATGCACTGCTGAAGCTTGGGTGGTGATGACTCGAGAAGACGTGTTTAGGGGGGGTGTCTCTCAGTCCTACACCATTGTGGAGATGGGCAGCAGTGCAGAGAGAGATCAGATTACTTGGAAGGGAAAGAATATATGTGGAATTGTTAGTTAAAAAGCATTTTTTGGGTACCCAGTGTATAAAAAAACTGTACAAGAAGGGTCTTCTTCCTCAAAACATTGGAAAAGGGGTGACAGAAGCATGACAAAATGGTGCAGAGGGGAAACAAGAGCGTTTCTTTTGCTAATCTGCTCTAAGAGAGCTGAAGTTCACATGAACATTGACAGCCTCCCAGAAGCAGGATGCTGGGCAGACCGGCGGTTGCTCAGGAGACTCTCTTCTGAACAACAGAAAGAGGAAGGAAACAAAGAACTCTAAGTGAGGGGGCTCGTGTGAGCACCCAAAGGTCTGAAACTCTTCCAAAAGGACTTTTGCAAAATGGAGAGTCTCTGGGAAATTTCTCTTCTCCCAGGAGAAACGATGTCTGTCTGGTGTAAGGGAAGAGTGTTTGGGAGAAAGAGGGGGGAGTGGGTCTGGAAGGGGCAGAGGTGAGTTTGGAAGGGGGTTAGGAGGAGGGGAATGCTGCTGTGGGAAAGGGGCAGTGCTCAGGCCTTCACCCAATGAGGAAGAACTGGAGCCTCCACTCCCAGTGTGGGCCCCAGGGGACAGAAAAGAGAGGGACTAGGGAACGGGAAAGGAGAGTGGAGGAGACCTGAGGAAGGAGGCAGGACCATAAGCTCCTCCTGTACTTGGTTTGGGGCTTTTGTCTTTATGCACCAACCAGCAATGGCACTGCCCAGCCAAAAGCTGTTTGGCCGTGTCTGACTCTTCATGACCCCACGAACCACAGTACACCAATACTGGCCATGGGGTTTTCTTGGGCAAAGATACTGGAGTGGTCTGCCCTTTCCTTCTCCAGTGGGTTAAGTCAAACAGAGGTTAAGTGACTTGCCCTGGGTCACACAGCTAGTGAGTGTCTGAGGTCAGATTTGAATTCAGGTCCCCCTGACGCCAGGCCCAGGACTCTATCCACTGGGCCATCTAGCTGCCCAAATAGCATCCATTAAGCTCCTACTATTGGGCTAAACACCGGAGCTACAACTTTCAAGCTGCTCAGTGTCAAAGGGAGCCAAATTGGGCAATACATAAATGTTTGTTGAGTGACTGACTGATACAGCAGGGAATGAGCATAAAGAAAAAGGACATGGGAGCTGAGGAGAAAATTTTTCTTGCAGAGAGTGGTAGAGAGGGGGAGGGGGGAATTAAGAAGAGTGCTGAGGAATGGATCTCCGCAGAGAGGGACCCTTTCAGGGGCACAGGACCATGCCCAGCAGAAGCTGGGGGCAGGGGGATGCCTGAGTCCTGGGGATGGAGGCAATTCAGAAGTGGAGAAGGGGGCACATGGCGCCTTAGGAAAAGAAAAGGAGAGGTGGTATTGGGGGGAGGGGTGGTATTGGGGGGAGGGGGAGAGGAGGAAGGAGGGCAGGGGAGGGGGAGAGAAGAGAGGGGGGAGAAGGAGGGTAGGAGGGAGATGGGGAGGGGTAGCACGGGGGGAGGCAGGGCAGAGAAGGGGGAGGGGGATGAGAGGGAGGGCAGAGGGGGGAGGGGAGGGAGGGGGAGGAAGGGAGGCCTCGGGGGGGCGGGGCTCGCCCCCTCCTCTCGCTCACCGGGAGGCGGGGAGGGGGGGCGGGGCGGACCAACCCCCGGGGAGCGGCCTCACCGCCCCCTCCAGCCCTGGGTCCCCCCGGCTCCCCCGGGGGCTCCCCCCGGGACCCCCCCAGCTCATCGCACCTGCCTCCGCCGCCAAGGCTGCGTCTCCTCCGCCGCTGCTCCGTCCGTCCGCTCCCGGCGCCTCCCCGCGGGTTGTCAGGCGGCCATCATCGCTCCGCGGTCCGCCGCTCATCTGCCTCCGCCGGGCCGGCCCTCTCCGAGGCCCCCCCCGGAAACCCAAGCCCTACGCTCACAGGTTCCGGCCGCAGCACTTGGGTTCCGGCCGCCGCGCACGCGCAGCCTCTCCGTGCCGGGTCAGAGAGGGCTTCCTCCGGCTTCTACTACCCAGCACGCAGACTCCGCCTGCAAAGGCCTTCTCGCTTTGCGCATGCGTGGCCCCTGCCCCCAGCCAGACAAAAGCTTTCTCCGCGCTGCGGCCGCAGAACGTGTACGGCTTGGTGCTTTCGTCTTCCGAACCCAACTTGGGTTTCCCTTCCACCGCCCCCCGCCACGCCGATTTCGCAGCTCCGCACACAGCGACCCCCAATGCAGATTTCCGTCGGGTACACAAGCTGCGCCCCTCCCCCCTCCCCATGCAAATGCCTTTCCTCTGCAGATTTCCCAGCCCTGCACACGGGCTCCCCCTTCTCTATCCCCCCATGCAGATTTCCCTGCTCTGCACGCGGGTTCCCCCTTCTCTACCCCCCCATGCAGATTTTCCTGCTCTGCACGCGGGTTCCCCCTTCTCCACCCCCCATGCAGATTTCCCTGCTCTGCACGCGGGTTCCCCCTTCTCCACCCCCCCATGCAGATTTCCCAGCCCTGCACACGGGCTCCCCCTTCTCCACCCCCCCATGCAGATTTCCCTGCTCTGCACGCGGGTTCCCCC